AATGGAGATTCATCAAGACCAACAATAAATCTTCATTTGTCAAAGAAAATATGCAACTAAAAAACTTATTAAGGAAGATGGAGTTGAGAAAGTTGATGGTTCTATTTATAGGAGCCCGATTGGTTGCTTATTGTATATGACAGTAAAAAAGACAGATATCATGTATGTTACAAATTAACTCTCTAAATTCTTACAAAGTCCTAGTGAGTTACATTTTAAGGTTGATATATTGGTGTTGAGATATGTTAAAGGATATAATGAACTTTGAATTTGGTTAAGAAAGATTAGAAGTTCAAGATTGGTTGGATTCACTAATAGTGACTGGGTGAGCTCTCATTAAGACATGAAAAGCACTTCAACTTTTATGTTTTTCATTAGATTAAATGTGTTTAGTTGGAACTCAAAGAAACAAGAAATTATGGCTCAACTAACAACAAAAGTAGAGTACATTGTTGCTGTGGCTATTATTAATCAAGTAATTTAGCTAAAAAAAAATTTTGTTGGATTTGAGTCAAAAACAAGATAATCCAACAAAAAATTTTTGTGATAATCAGTCAACAATTACAATGGTCAAAAACCTTTTGTTTTATGGAAGAACTAAGCACATTAAAATCAAGTATCACTTTATTAGAGAAGTTGAAGCTGAAAATGAAGTGAAGTTGGTGCATTGCAAGTTGAAAAATCAAATTACAAATATTTTGACTAAGGCCTTACCGAAGGCAAGGTTCAAAACACTAAAGAAAAGACTTGGTGTTTCCAACAAAAATGCTAAGGATGAGTGATAATAGTTGAAGCAACCAAGTATAGCACTTCTACTGCTAACAACTTGTTTTGATTTTTTTTTTCTTTTATGTCAATTTATAAGACTTTAGGTAGCATAATGTATATGTTTGTGGTAATCTACAAATTTGGCAAACAACTTATGTAGTAGTTAAGAGTTGTTAACCAAATTTTTGTATTTTTGAAGTTTATAAATGATTAAATGTGGCCTATGCTTTGTGTGAGGTTTTTACCACAACTTAGAGTTAGTTTCTTCATTTTCTTATTAGTTTTTCATACATTTTCATATCCTTCAAATGTATTCGATGACTCATCAATTGCCTGATCAATCTTAGTATCAATCAGTTTCTAATCAACTACATCATTAGTCACCACTTGATCAACCTTGTCATCAGTCACCACCTGATCAACCTTGTCTTTTGATCAACCTTATCATCAGTGATCACCTTCTAATCAATCTCATTATCAATAACTTTGGCAACCACTTTCACTATTAACTTTATTACTTTATGTCCAAGGTTAATAAGGTCACTATCAATCTCCCATGCAAAAGATAAGATATCAAGATCAGTTTGAATGAACTGTAAAGATGTACCCATGCTAGAAACCATGAAAAGTAAAATGTTTATATTGTACTTTTTAGATAAAAGTTTGTCATAATGATATCTAACGGATTGATTAAAAGTTCCTAAGATTATTTCCAAATTAAGAGATGAAATGTAACAAAACCCTAATTCTATGTTGAATAGATCATATGGGATATAAGAACAATGTTGTTTTAAATAATTATCGATTTCTTGCCCAATCTTGATGCTATCAATGTAAGCCATAGCCATATGTTGGAATTTTGTGTTTAGGTTTTGGTTGTATTTCGATTAGAATTGAAGTTTGTTTGTAAATAAAAACAAGTATTCTTGATCAAGCTTTAGGGTTTATGAAGATTTTGATATGATAGAAATCACTGTCTCTATTACTATAAATAAAAAATAACATGATGTTCAAGTCGGTTCCTTTTATTTAATATGTTTTCTTCATTTTTTTTCCTTCTTTCTATGTAACTCTCCAGCAATTAAGTTTTAGGATTATAGATTACATTATGTTACATTATGTCACAGGTTGTAGGCATCTACTACATTATGTTACATTACATAGATGTGACAAAATGGGCAGGTTGCTAATCGTACAACACAACCCAACTCGTTGTAAATCATCTCAACATGGCTGATATTGTTATAATATAGATCATGCCTAAGAATGATTCTTATCATACTATCAAGTTAGGTCAAGATTTTTTTTAATTCATGTACCAGCACAATATCATTCATGATGAATTACAGATTTATACATGGCACGACTAAGCACAGTAAAGCTTGATGGATTACAAATTAACACATGATATAACTAAAATGTTACAATCCATATTTTTCTTTTTTTTTTAATTTTATTTTCAAACTTCATATCTTTATTTTTTTAATTGACAAATAAGTAATGGCTCCATAATTTTTTTTATATAATATACAATTTGATATATGTATATATATATATTTTAAATTGTAAGACCATATCATTTGACAAAATAATAATTTATGAAGTGTGTATTCTATTCAAAGATTGGTTAGATGATGAATATAATTCACAAGAATAAGATATGTCTTTGGAAGAAAATGAAGAAGATATATTTTAGAAAGAAAATGATGACCATGATTTATTGTAATTGTTATTTGTATTTGTAAAATTTATTGTTTTTTGAGGTAATTAATGTTTGAAAATTTTATTTGTTTATAGTAAAAAGGTTCTCCTTTTATCATGGATATAAGTATTTTAAGTTGAATTATGTAAATTTTTTAAACATTTTGCATGTAAATACGTAAGAAAAAAAAAGTAACAATTGAAAAAAAAATTGGGTCAAGCCTGATCCAACTTATTATGTGTCAAGCCATAGACTGTACTGAACTTAGGATTTAAAAACATGAATCTTGCTTGACACGACCCATATCATAGATGGATTAAACCATCATGATCAATCAAGATCGAGCCCAACATTAAGCCTGTTTAACCGCTGCCACCATCGAGCCCATGTTGCCATCTTTTTATGTACATATGTCTCCTACTATTTGTAAACAATCATTACTCACTAAATCATGAAAGGCCAATCTCGGTTCTTTATTCTTATTGTATTATGATTAATTTTTTTAATCAATTCTAATTTATAAATAAATCTATAAAAATAAAAGTAATTTATAAATAAATTACTCATGATTAATTAATTAATCAACTCTAATTTCAATATTTTTATGATCAATTTTTTTTAATTTTTCATATTTTAAATTTAAATAAAATGGTAAGAACACAAAAGTCAAAGAAATGTGATTATATTGATTTTAATCTTTTCATATTATATGAATTAATGATTCGACTTAGATTAATTAAAAAATAAGGAGACCAAAGCACATTATTAGCTCAACAAATGAAAGCACATAGTTTGATATCAGAACCACATGACAAGAGGGGCAAAAGCTGAATTCAGGTGTCACCGAAATGGCAACGTAAAGCATCTGAAATGTCAGCAGATGATGAATCAATTGGGAGGTCTGAAACGGCAGTAGATGATGAATCAATTGGGAGGTGAAAAAGACAAATCCTGATGTAAGAAATGTTTGCAGTTGTTATAATGCTTGAAACTGAGAGTCTCTTTTCCAGGCCATCTCCAAATGAAAATAAAGATAAAGCTTCAAAACTTTCTCTTACTTTTGACAAGATCAGCATGAGCATGTTAGAATTTTTTCTTTTTGATACTTTGCTTATTCATCATATGAAATAAAAGCTTCTGCACTCAGGGACGGAAAAAAAAAAGATTCGAGTGATCAATCTCCATGAACAAACCCCTTAATGAAGCTAATATAATTTTTTGGATCCCCATTGATGTGAATCCTGTAAGAAACTAAGGTCACTGAATGCATATGGAAATCATAACTTTCCATCAATCACAAGTCAATTTTAGCATATCAAAGAGCAATCGGAACTTTAGCTGGCAAAATTGTTGTACAATTCAATACCATAAACATTAGCATGGAAAAGTTGAGCTAAATGGTTAAGCAATAAAGAACTGGATGTACCACAACTAGAACTGCAGAAAAACCTTGGCATGTGAGAAAATATAGCCTGCAAGAACTAGTAAACTTCAATTTCTTTACCCAAATGCTGCTATTTGCTGATGTAAAGACTTCAAAATAAAGCGAGAACACACTATTGAGATGTGCTCATTTTCTGTAGTAAACCCCCCAACAGCACTAAAAAATGAAGTATGTCTGGTCAATACGCAAAGAAAAACCTTTTATATTACTAATTACAGTAGTACTTTCTCGGACGAAAAACCAGTAGGAATAAACTACTTGTCTAATGTTATGATCAGCATATGTCCATTCATTACTAGCATAGGCTATGCGGTAGACTTCCGGATGTTGATTTCATATGTCTCCAAAGGAGATGTTTATCCATTTGTGCTCAAGGTGTGGTGGCAGGAGATGGAGCAAATTGGTTCAAGCAATCTATATATCTATGTTCATGATTGAAATATAGGCATAAATGCTTGCAATTAAAATATTGAAACCTTTTCCAAACGTTTCATACAAAATTCCATCAAGTTCAAGCATTTTATAAATCTCGCATTCTCGAAACGATCACTGGATGATTTGGTCCCAGGCACACCTTTGATCTAACCAACTAGCGAATTTGTTCATTTCTCAGTCAATCTGCTTCAGATCATCACTTTTTACCAACGTGTTACTTATCAAATAAGAATTTTTTTTTGAATCATCCATTCCTGAAGTTTCAAACACTACCAACATGTAATTAACTTGGAACGAAGTCAAAAGGCTTTAATATTCAAAAGATCAATATATTTTGGAATCAAAATAAAATTATAAAACTATGGAAAGAACAAGATTGATCACTATATATATCTCAATCCTTTTGTTTCTTTCAGATTCCACGGTCCTATCCATCAGCTTATTGTCTTCTCATTGTAGCAATCGGAAGACGCAACCAAATTTAACCATGCATCCTTATTCCAAGTGCAATAGCAGAATGATCAAGCAAATAGAAATCACCTTGAAACATTGATTCCTGGAGTTTCAAATGTAAACCCATAACTCATTGATTTAATTAAGACAAGACCAAAAGTGCAACTCACTGAAACAGAGCACTATATTTGTGGTAAGTAGAAGTACACATAAGAAATTCACCAATCATTGGAGTAAATATTCATGCTTGCATTATGGATTTCTCTAATTACTGTGATACAATAATTAAAGATTGAAACAAGAAATATATATGTAACAAAAATTTGCCATATCACTTTATATTATGCTATCATCATGGAACTCCTCAACTTATCATCACACTTACAATTTAGACATTAATAAGAAAAAATTAACTACATTCTCCCTAAGGACATTAATCAACAGAACTCAATTACGACTGAGAGATTAGATCAAAATCGAATCAACTGGGGAGATCAGATCAAAATCGAATCAACTGGGCATCTGGTATCGGCACAGTGGGCACAAGTGACTGGTCTCCAACCATTTAACGATGCAATCATCATGATAAACATGTCCACAAGGCATCGAAGCAACCTTGTCATCATCAGAGAACTCATCGAAACAGATCATACATTCATTCTTTGAACTCAAACCATCGAGTAATCTCCTCTTCTTGAAAGGTAGGCGACCTTCATCACCCAATTTAAACTTTTTCAAACCTTGAATAGATGAATTACTAGCAGGCTTGAAATTCAATGTACTTAGTGACTCATCAATGGCCTGATCAACTTCATCATCAATTAGCTCCTGATCAACCTCATCATCAGTCACCATCTGATCAAACTCATCATCAATCAACTGCTGATCAACCTCATCATCAGTCAACTCATGATCAACTTCATCATCAGTCAACTCCTGATCAATCTCATCATCAGTGATCACCTCCTGATCAATCTCACTACCGGTAACCTCCTGACCAACCTCATTATCAGTCACCTTGACAACCACTTCCAGTATCAATTTTATTATTTTACGTCCAAGATTTACAGGGTCACTATCAATCTCCCGCGCGAAAGACAAGATATCAGGAACAATGACAGTTTGAATGACCTGTAGAGATGCACCCGTGCTTGCAAACATGGAAAGTACCATGTTTGGACCGTACTCTTCAGATAAAAGCATGTCACGTCGATACATGAGGGATTGATTAAAAGTTTCTAAGGTTGTTTCTAAGTTAAGAGATGAAACATAACGAAACCTTAATTCTAAGTTGAAAAGATCACATGGGATATAAGAACAATGTTGTTCTAAACGATTATCGATTTCTTGGCCAATCTCGATGGTGTCAATGGAAGCCATGGCAACGCGTTGGAATTATTTCTCTGGGTTTCGGTTGTGTTTTGATGAGAATCGGGTAAACAAGTATTATTCTTGATGAAATTTCGAGGGTTTTATAAGGATTTTGGTATGATGAAAATCACCGATTCTACTCTTATAAGTATGTCCGTACCAAAAATGAAGAGATAACTTGATGTCAATGTCGGTTCCTTTTATTTAACCCCTTTTCTTGGTTACGTCCTTTCCTTTCCTAAATAGAATTTAGGATTATATATGTGATTATAGGGTGTATGAATTTTCTACATCATATATGTATACAATATGTTTTGGAATTCTTTTATGGGTTTTTGTCGTTTTATGAGAATTAGAGTTTGCTGAGTTGGCAAGTGAAAAAACAGGTCTTAATTTGAGTTGAAGTTGAAGGCTTTTAAGGATTTTGATGAGGTTTGGAAGCCAGAAATCTCCCACTCCTATATGCTTGACTGTAACAAATTAAGATGAAAAACTGATTCTTTTTATTTATTTAACCGTTTTCTTCTTTTGTTCTGGGGTCACCTTCCTTCCTTTTATTTACCAAACTGATCGAAGGTTTGCAAATGTAACTCTCCACCAAGGAGCATTCCACTCACAGTACAGGGTGCGAAAATTTGCTGTATTACATGTTTCCAACAACAATTATTACTCAATGTCACTCATATATAGTTTTTATTATTAATAATTAATGTTATGATTCAATATAATTATTCAATCAATTAGAATTTATACACTAATCTATAAAATATAAATAAATAAAACAATCCCACAATATTATGTTTAATTTCGATCTATTAGGATTTAGACTTATATCTGTCATAAATTTTAAAAATTTACTGCATTATGTTACGTTATGTAAATGTAACAAAATCGCTCGAGCTACAATACAACACAACCCATCATAAGTTGTATCAATATGATCATAATTTAGCAATGGATCATGTCGAGAGCTACTCTTATCATATTATCAAGTATGATCATGATTTTTTGAATCATGAATCATGACTTGATACAACATGATTCATTATAGATACAGACTTAAACATGATAAAAACTAAACTTTTTTGTCAAATTTTTTTAGTTTTAATTTTCATTATTGTAAATTTTTTATTAGACTTGTCAAATTATTTCATTCAAAATATTTAAACAGATTTTTTTAAATATTTTTATCGATAATAATTAGTTCAAAGTAAAAAAAAGCGTTGAAAAGTGAAAACATTTGATCAGAAGAGATTTTATTTTCAAATTGACTTCTTCGCCATATTTTAAATTTGGATTTATTTTCAAGGTGATGAAATGTTTATGCCAGTGAACAGATGAATGTGATTTGGGAACAGATGAATTCTAACAACACAAATTCTAACTTCAGAAGATTGATGGAGTTCCCAACACAACTAATTCAACACAGTATATTAGTATGGCTTTTGAAAAGCAAGAAAACTTTGAATTCATACTTTTTTTTCCTATTACTTTTCAATACCGAATGCAAGAATAAAAGTACAAGCTTTTTTTTTTTCCTTTTGGCCCTAGAATAGCTGGTATTGATGAATACCTTAATTCTAGGTTGAATATCCCTGGCTGTACGTCCGAATGACCTGCTGAAAAGATTGGTAGTATTTGATAACTATGATCAACATTCTTGTGATAGAGCGTATGACTTTTCTGAAAGCAGCTAACTTCAAATTTCCCATGTAGCACGTTTAAGTTATAGTTTTTGTTACCAAATGCTTACCAGAAGTATGCAATATGTCATCTTCGATCTCTGCTTTTGGAAAATTAATTTCCTTTTCTATTTATCTATAGTATGGTTTTTCAAGACTTAAATATTGAAACCATGCTGGTGGCTATTATTTTAGCTGTCTTTCCTCTGAACTATTGGTGTTTGAATAGCAGAAATGTATGATATCTATCAACCTTGCTTCTCACTAATATTTCTGGCCCTACTTTTAATGCTAATCAATACAGGTCTTGAACAAGGATCTGCGACTTGTTATTGGCCAGCAAGAACGTATGATTAATGAGGTAAATGTCTGGAATTGGCCAGTAATCTATGATAAGCTAGGAGTGAGGTACAGATTATGGAACGATGTTGTTGAACGAGGAGCTAAACAATTACCCTTCAGCAAACCAATGTAAATTTTATCTCTGGCAACCGATTTAACAACCCTTCTCACATTATCTGGACCAATTCTTGCACTCTCAAACATGCTTAGTACTACAATAAGGTTTGGCATTGGCACATTGAGGACAACCAAGGAGATTCAGCGGATAACAACCAAGGTTTGGCATTGGTACGAGTTGTTTTCTACCCACAAGCCCTAGAAAAATATAGAAACTGTAGACTGCTTTTATAGTTTTTGTGTACAGTCCAAATCCAATCCCCATTTTTTTCTCCTTTGAGAACCCCTGACCAGAGAAATGATCAGAATTTTTTTTTTTTTTTTGCCTTAGAAGCCAGTATTAATCTCTTGTCCTGCGGCAGCAAAGATCCTTGTACTATAATGACTGATGTTTAATGAAAATTCCCAAGATTTGCATTTGACTTTCTTGAACGCATCACTGTTTTACTCCCCCAAGGTTCAAAATATGCAATCACTTTTTCGTCAAGCAGTTGGCTCAATTCCATTTCTATTACCTTAGAGATACCAGCTGAAAAAACTGATGATAATCTGATATTTCTAGCAGAATCCTTAACAAATTTTAACTCCAGAAACTGTTTATTTATTGATAAGAGTCAAAGCATATAATAATTAGTTTGAAGTAAAAAAGAGTTGAAAAGTGAAAACATTTGATCAGAAGAAATTTTATTTTCAAGTTGATTTCTTTGCCACATTGTAAATTCGAATTTATTTTCAAGGTGATGAAAATATTTATGGCAGTGAACAGATGAATGCTATTTGGAAGCAGATGAATTCTAACAACGTCTAACGTTGAACACAAATTCTAACTTCAAAGGACTGATGCAGTTCCAAACACAACTAATTAAACATTGTATGGCTTTTGAAAAGCAAGAAAACTTTGAATTCATACTTTTTTTTTTCCTATTACTATTCAATACTGAAAGCAAGAATAAAAAGTACAAGATTTTTTTTTTTTTTTTTGGGGGGGGGGGGGGGGATGGGTCCTTGAATACCTGGTATTAATGAAGTCATTGATGAGTTCAAAATCAGTATCAATGCAAACATTTAAATAAAGCAAGCAGCAAGTTACAGATGCTTACAGTACATATAAGCTTTTTTCTTTAATATGCCGCTATTCCAAAGCCAATCACTTTCAGTTCTTTTGAAGGCATCATCTAGAATCCATTTGCATATGACCATTAGATTATTAAACAGGTAGAGACACAAGCAAGGACGAATACGAGATCTATTCTACCACAGATTCTGTTTATACATTTTTCACTACTCTTTCAGGTAAAGTTTGTTTAGTCTCACATAAAAATGAGGAGGCAAAAAAAAACACACACAATCCGAATAACACTTTTATATTTATTACTTCCAAGTAACTGACCCCTGTAATATCAAGTTTGCTACGACTGCAAACCTCTCTTTAGCAAAACTTCGCTACAATTGCGTTTCTACTAGAAAATAATTGATTGATATGTAATACAATGTTTATCTGCTGCTTTAACCTCCAACTGCATAAGAAAAGTTGGATGATCTCAACTTGTGAAATAAAATGAAGAAAACTTTAAAGCTACTCAGAATTGCCGCTAAATATGTACAAGAAACTGGGAGTAGGATGCCACTCAGATTCTTGTCATCAAAACTTGTAACTTTTTTGCCATGTGCTCCGTGCAAATTCCAAATACAAATCTGATACTTGCGAGCTCAACCGAGGAAGCTTGAAACTATCATGACATTTTCATTTGGATTTGCCGATGAATATGTACAAGAAACTCAACATAAGAGGGGCCACTTGCGTTCTTGTCTTCTACCATGCATGAGAAGAATACCATTCCTGAAAAATGTTACAATTGCATCATGTGAATGTCATAATATAGTTGATTTTTTTTCTAAAATAAAAATCATAATACAGCAATAACTCTGACAACAAGAAACCTGCAAGCATGGAAACAATAGTCCAGAAGCTATTTGCTCCATTGTCACAAAAATAGACAAGCCAAAAATTTTCGGACAACCAAAAAACCCCTAGTCTCCCTCTCTAATTACACAGAATGAGAAAACTTTAAATGATGCATGTGGAAAATTTTTGTAGTAGTTGTGAGATGCAAGAAGGAAAGCAGACAACCAAAAAAACCAGTATATAAGAGAATCCATGGCTATTTTGGTTAAACATTCCACAGGCTATTTTATCAAGCAGTATCATGGTTTGCATGAGAGGTAAGTTCTATGCACTGACCTGATGGATCCCCCTTCTTGCACAATTTCAAGCTGCAAAAGAATATAAAGATAAAATGCATTAAACAGAGAAATCTACTTCAATTTTTTATAAAAGAGATGGAATAAGCCTTCTTTTAGGAGTAAAGTAATGCTAAAGAAAGAACCATTAATCATACCGAAGGTAGGAACATCTTTGGCGCCGAATCACATTTACCACATCATTTAACTTCTTCGATAATGGATTGTCATATTGCTGCGTCACAAACTGAACATGCAGAAGTGTTGACAAAAGGGCATAAGTGTCTGTACTAGATAGGCGAAAGGGTTAAGATAGAATAAAGCTGAAAAGAGAAAAACATATTATGGAAATAGACCAACAAACTTCCATAAATTTTGTTCTCTTTTCTTTTTCAACCTTTTCTTTCTCAAATATTACAGGGATAACCTAACCTAACCCAAGAATCCTAACACTTGAATCCAAGGCCACTCATTTGAGTGTCATACCATTCAGTAATCAAGCACAAGACCTTTCAAGACTCTTCTCAACCAATCCGCAAATCACATACAACATAAATCACCAAGAGAAATTCACAATAATAAATGGAAGGAAAAAGAAACTGAGATGCAGATAAAATCCCATCATATGAGGAGTTTAAGAGCAATTTCAAATCAAAACATGGATGAGATCAATTTAATATATAATGGGCCATTGACTTTATAAATAGTGAATTTATTTTTAAATAAATAGGTTAACAAAATATCCTATGTTTGCTTATCTTCAAC